GGGGGCAGAGCCATTGCAGGGGGGGCGCGGTATGGAAAGGGAAAAAAAAAAAATAAAAGCATCATGGACAGGTTTTTGACGGAGCTCCCACACAAACGCAGAGCAGGAGATGAAGCATCGCTGAACATGTTTCCAAACCAACTTCATTCTAAGACAAAGACTAGAAAATATGGTGAAGCAAATCTGCCCTTTGGTTTCACCTGCACAGGTGCAGAGGGAGGTCTCCCTGCAGGATTAGTTTCCCCTTCTTCAGGAGCAGCGCTGGGCTCTTCAAATCACGGACAAACAGGATCCCACATTCTTGATTTTTAGTTCACAAACACTTGTTGTAATGACTAACTACTTGTTGGAGATGTTTGCTCTTTATACAGTAAAGTTACAGCAGGATACAAATAATATCAGGCTGATCCTGCCACGATTTCTTTCCCCGGTTCAAATCACGGACAAACAGGATCCCACAGCTGTTTATGTTTTTGAACCCATTTTGTACAGAGAGGCATTTTTTGAAAAATGTATTAATGCAATGTTGAATATTATTACACAGGAAAAAACAACTACCGTAATTCCCGGACTACAGAGCGCACCTGATTGAAAGCTGCATGCTCTAATTTTAGAAAGAAAATCATCTTGTACTTGTACAGGCCGCACCGGATTTTAAGCCGTATGCGTTTCACTCGTAATATGAGATATTTACACAGAAATATTACACTTGAGGATTTTTAACGTTTAATTTAATCCGTAAGGTAACATAAACATGGTAACATACAAAAATACATACTGCAAATGCTCTTTTTCCTCAAACAGCGCCTGTAACACGGCTACCTGTAAGTACACGTACGTATCAGTAACACACAAATTACGTTGCTTATGTTTTTTTTACAAACAACAAACAACTACTTATCAATTTTATTGGTCTACTGTTACCAGGCAAAATGTTTTTGGCCGCATGAAAAAAAAAAGGCTTTAGCCGCACGTCAGTATAAGCCGCAGTGTTCACAGTGTGGGAAAAAAGTAGCGGTTTATGACCCGAAAACTACGGTACACGTTAAATAATCACACAAAGAGTTTTCTTGTAAAACAAAGGGGGGCCTAACAAAAAAAGTTTGGGAGCCACTGTCCTACTCAGTGCGTCCTTGGTTCCGCTGGAAGTCTCTTCCTGTTAAAAGAGAGTTCTGTCTCCCCACTTTTGCCAAGTGCTGCTCGTCTGGGACACTAACAATAACCTCAGTTTACTCAACAAAGGAGCCGTGGGCTGTTATCTTACAGACTTCTATAAAAACACACTTTCAGCGCTTAGTTTTAAATATCTGTCTACAACTGGAAGTCGTTGTGCACCCAGAGGAGTCGCCCCCTGCTGACCATCAAAAAGAATGCAGGTTTAAGACACTGATAAGAGTTTTGTAGGGTGACTTTAAAGAAGGTGGTTTATGTTAGAAGACAAAGCTGTTTTGTCCTTCCCCTCAACCTCCAATCAGTCAGAACATGTTAGTTCTGCAGAGATCTCTTCCTGTTCAAAGGAAGTGCTGCTCATCTGGGACTGTTTGACTGTTGCTTTACTTTGCAATATAAATTACCTTGAGATGACTGACGCTACATAAATAAAACTGAATTGACATGATTTAAAATAATTTTATTTTGCTTTGTGTTGCTTTCTCAAGACTATAAATGTAACACAATCCAACAGTAATGTGTCTGACCACAAGTAGCTCTGCCTAAAGAAGCAGTCAAACAGAACAAAAACAAAACAAGCACAGTTTTAAGTTTATATCCACGATCACAGACAGGCTTTAGAGCTGCAGGATGCCTCAGTTCTTCTGACCTCCAGCTGTTGTCAGTGTGTAATGAAATTGGTTTGCAGCTGGAAATCAGCACAATGAGGAAAAGAGTCACGTCTGACAGACGTCTCCATTTTTCTGAGCTAAAAGACTCCTATCACAGCCAGATCTCCTTCAGATATTATCGCTAAACATCCTGTCAACCAATCACGTCCTCCTGTCAGCGCGCAGGCAGCGCATGGACTCAGATTAGACCATTTGATGTAGCTCATATAGATAAAGCAGATGCCTGTCTGCATGTGCTGCTTCAGCTAATTACACATGGCGCTAATTAGAGTTGAATCAAGGAGGAGGCAAAAAAAGAGAAAAATGACAATCGCTGCTTTTACTGCTGTGATCTTAATGATATTACACAACATTTACTGATGAAACGGCTTTGAACTGTCGGTTGGTGCCACCTTGTAATAATGCGTCAGGACAGCCACCACACTGCTAATGGGTGGCTAACGTTGCAGCTCTGGTGTGTCTAACAGGTCAGCTTCCCTCCTCTCTGGCGACCACCATCAAGCAGAAACAAGAATCTTTATTCTTAGACACATTTTGAGTCGCGCCATCAATCTGAGAAGTGTTTCCACTGTTATGATGCTGCATCACATCAGTACTAACCCTTAAAAATAACCACAGCACAGACTTCAAAATGAAAAATGGCCACAGGAAACTGGACTGAAAGCAAAATCTAACTGAACAAAAAAAGACTCTTTTAACTTAAATAAAACTTCCTGTCGGGTGTCGGGTGCAGGTCCAAGAGGCCTTTTTGTACACTTCTGGATGTTACATACGTGTACTGAAGCTCATACGTGTAGGTGCTTTGTCGGGGATGTCATGCAGCTACACATTGCATCTCATGAGTTCTTGAGGACGTTGATGCCCTCAGAAAGCCTTCGAGTGTACGAAGGCTTTAAAGTGCAGAGCGCAGAGTTGCTGTGATCAGCCTCAGAGGCTCCTGGTGTGCCTCACTCTGCCAGCAGAACATGTTTTATGTTTTATCCAACAGCTGCTGAGACTTTTCAGTCTGAACGATCGGATAGACGCATTTTACAATCACCACACAAACATTTTAGATTTGACTCTTCTACTCTGCTGTTACATTAATTAGTGAACATTTCATGGTTTATTTAAAGTCACTTTTCCCACCCAAAAGCTTCAAAGTCCATCAGAATCTCTTTCTCAGGACCAGAGGACAACAGGCGCACCGTTAACGTCCTACAACATGTGCCTACACGTGGAGTAACGGGGACGCTGATAATCCTCTTCTATTCACTCTCAGTCGACCAATTTATGGAGACAAAACAAAGAGAGGGGGGAACGTGACCACCCCCTTTCATGCAAGTCCCTGCCTAATTAATTTATCTGTGCTCAGCAAGCAGGCCAACGGCAGCGTGGGCGGATCCAGAGGAAACATGACAAACAATCGACTTCTGACAGTGAAGCGGCCTCGCTCCCACAGCTCTCCTCTATCTGCTGCTGTCCAGCAGCTACGTGTGTGATGTTGTAAACATCAGCATCTAAAGCGGGCATTTCCACGCTTTCAGTGAGACGCACACGCAGCCTCACCCTCAGTGTGTCACTGCAGAGAAACTCAGCTTTCAGGTGTCCGCTCCCACTTTCCTTTTTCTTTGGTCTAAAATATTTACAATTAAATCCTGTCTGAAGGGAAGCAAATAAATAATCCTGTGTAGGAGACACAGAGAGTTTGTGGTTTCTTCTTTTGTCTCTGTATGTTGGTGAAAGGCGATGTGCTGGTGGCTGCAGTTGGAGGCCACAGCAGCTCCAGTGAATGGACTGATATCCCCATCTTACTGTTGTTCCTGTAGCATCATTATTCATTTTGCTCAGTGATTTATGAGGATTGTAATCACGCATATTCTCTGTTCTCATGGTCATACACTGTGCTGGTGCTTTGTTACAATGAACAGGAACAGTTTTTAATGTTTTCGTTTTGCCTTCTCTGCCCCAGGATAAGCCCAGTTCTTGTGATTGAAGCTAAAAGCCTGGAGACTGAGCAAAGCTCTGATTGGCTGAAAGAAGATATTGGTTTGTCTTCTGTCTGCATTCTGTTTTAGCAACAGGTTGACATCTGCAAACCCATTTGAGTTTGGGTTTGTGGTCACATTAGATAAGATGAGATAAAATTATGATTTCATTCAGACAGCACTGACTACATGTAACGACACAGCTAATAATACAAGCTTTGTGTCAGAACTAGTCGTTCTGATTGGACTCTGAACAAAAGTTCATGACATTAGAGAACGTGGTGGAAGAAGATTTCTGGTGAGTTGGGTCCACGGTTCTGTTTCAGTTCCTCTCCAATGCTGATGTGAGTTCAGGCATCAGCTGAGCCCTCAGGTGAGCTCCAGCTGTGTGAGGCTGAAGAGTGAGGTTAACTCTCTCTCACACACAAGCACACAAACACACACATGAGAGAACAGCAGGGCTGCAAGATTGTGAACAATGTCAGCAGGTGTGTTAGGAGAACATACGGGTGTGTTGTGAACTAGCAGCAGCCATGTTAAATTAGCAGCAAAACCAAAACTGGTTTTGGAGAAAGATATAAATGTGTTATTTCCACTGTTGGAGCCTCAAGTGGACGTTCGAGGAACTGCAGGTTTTTGCTCTTTGCTCTAAACTTTTCGTGGTTCTAAGTCACCACCAGGCTTTTCTGTGAAGGTCAGTCCAAGAAAAAAAAAGTTCTCAGGGCTGCAGTTGCCTTTCTTTGTTCCACCAAACAGCCACTGCTCCGGTCACGCTGATATACTCCTAGGATGGGTCTCGAACCCATAACCACTGATTTAGGAGGACAGTAAGAGGCGCTGCCTCAGTGATGGCCGAATGGTTAAGGCGTGGGACTTGAAATCCAACCGGGTTTCCCTGCGCAGCTAGAAGCCTGCTCGCACCGGATGGGAAGGTTTAGAAGGAAAAGACTGAAGTCTGTAAACTGACCAGATCCCGTGACGGTGAAAGGTGTAAACAGTTAGCACACGTGTGAATCTCAGTGACCAGCGGGAGAAGCGGGCGATCCTTCACTAACAGAAATCTGACCTGCTGAACTCTTTTTGTCGTGTGGCCAAATGTGTTTCACAGTAATGTCACGCACTGATTTTGGTGTAACTACACTTGACTGATGTGCGCAGCAGAAAGAGACAGAGGGTGAGAGAGTGGAGGGGGTGAGAGAGGTACAGTCTCAGCGGCAGCACGGCTCTGCGCTCCGAGTGTGGATGTTAGAAAAGAGGGAAGGACTCCGAGACACACACACACACAGAGGAGCGCTACCGGTGGACGTGAGTGTGCTCGCGGGCTGCGGAGCGTCTCTCCGGTCAGCTGTGAATGGGATTACGGCGGCTCCTCCGGGACTGCAGGAGGAACCATGCGGCCGCAGAGCTGCCCGCTGCCCTCGGCCCTGCTCCCGCTGCTGCTCGGGCTCTGCAGCGGCACAAGTTTCCCAACTAACATCAACATAGGTGAGTGAGCCCCGAGAACCCGGGTCTGACCAGCCCGACCCCCACATATTCAGATCATTCATATCATGATTCACGCGTGGACGCCTGGACCCGAGTGCTTGCGCTCCTCCAGACTGTCTCGAATGTTCCTGCTGTGACTTTGTGTCGATGTGCTCGCGCTTCTGTGATCGGGACTCCCTTACTTACACTAAGTTAGGGTTTATATTTCCACGCGAGGACAGGCGCTTTTTGTGTCTGCAGCACTTTAATATCGCTGCAACACGCAGGGCATCTTTACCACTGCGAGGCGGAGGTTGTTCACGGTGATTCTCAGCGGCGGGAAGATTATGGAGATCAGCACCGCGGACAGAGTCACAGACTCAACAACCAACAACTGAGTTGATTCAAACATGGCTCAAAAATCGTTAAATATGAGAATCATTGAGGGGAAATGAGGATACCGGCTTCAGCACCACGGACAGAACTACTACATACGAACAATGGTGGACCAGCATGAGCACCAGGGTCACGGCGGGTGTGACTGATTGTTTTTATGGCCTTAAATTAAATATAGCTGAAATGTTGCCATGACTGGGGGGGTCACAAAGACACAGACAGAGCTTATTACAGGCTTATTTTAGGACAAAGGACAGAGTCACAGTATCTTAATGTGCCCCATGATTCATATGGTTTCTGCCATACACATTTCAGAATCAGCATTTATGGGGTCAGAAAGTCAGATGGTAATATTCAGCACCATGGACAGAATCATGAAAGAACATTGTCTGTTTTTATGGACAAATTCCTAAATTTAAATTTACAATTGAAATAAGAGAATCAGAACTTTAGAGGGAGAGAGCGATAAAGACATGGGCTGGAATTCAGGAGCCGGAGAAAGAGAGAGAGAGAGTTAAGCACCACAGCATGGCTAACATCACTTAAGAACACAAAGTGTTTTTTAAAGAGAAGTATGGTTATTATATTAATCCATAGGGATTAGAAGAATTAACTCCATGAACAGAGCCATATAGGGCTACCATTTCTCATGTCAATAAACATGATCAGGACATCCCAGTAGTAAGTCCCAGACTCTAATCCCCTCAGCTAGCCCCGAGGCTACATGTACACAACAGGATTTTCCATATTGAGCTATTAATTTATGAGCCAGTCACCTCTGAACCTGATCAGCTGTTTAGTCTGTTTGGTGCTGAGATGCGTGAAGATGTCCGTTTGCGGAGCGGGTGGATTCATTTTCTCTCAGAGGACTGATCATTTAATGATTGCAGCTCTAATGCCAAACATTAGCATATTAACTGTGTTTTTATTGTACGATGGTGTGTTATGATAATCCTGACTTTGCCTGTTTGATGGTTCTTATAATTTCCTCTGAGACATCCCGGCCGATGGGACTGTCAGAGAGGAGCCTGCAATCTTTCTTTGGAATGACTTTATCATATTTTTATCATATTTCTAAATTTAACTGTATCTTTTCATTAATCTGAAGTATTTCCTGAGGCTTTAGTGATTTCCTTCAGCTCTGTGTTAAACCGCAGTCTGCTCGGGTCACTTTACAGTTTTACTGTCATGTCTAAATACTTGTGCTTTGCTGTTATATCACTAGATGGAGTTATTGATGATTTATTCTCCTTTTAAATGTACCTTTTATTCCATCATTATATAATATTAAAAACTGAGAAAAGAGCTTATGATTTGTGTCCTAATGGTTCAACTGTTATTATTTAGCTGGTTGTAAAACACTCTGTGCCTCTCATGTAGGCTCACATAGATGGTGTGGTTCTCTTGCTCAAAGTCACTTTCATTTAGGGACAGATAGAGTCAACCCTGCCATTACTCAACATCTTGCACTATGAGACTCTACATATAGAGCTCTAACGCTAATTCAGTCGGGACCACTACCGTGAGAACAAGTTGAAGAGCAGACCCCAGGTCAGTGACAGCAAAGTTGAGACTAATTAAATGGGATGCAAAGCAGCTTACAGACGTTCAGATGTTTAAATAATGCAAACCAAATAAGATTAAACAGGTGTCACTGATTCATTTCTTATAAGGGGCTAAACTGCAAGCCCAGTGATGGAAGCAATGCAATGCAAGTAAAAGTGGTCATACTTTAGTATATACCTTAGTATATATAGTATATATAGTATAGTATATATACTATAGTATATATACTATACTATAGTATATATTCGTCCCCTGGGGGAGTAAAAATCCAGCTTTACTAAGTAAAAGTAGAGGTTAGGGTTAGTGCCTTTTAATCAGAATCCCCACTTTTATTAGATGCGTTGGGTTCAGATTTGGATTGAGGAGGTTTGGCAGGATTTCTTGCTGTGGGAGCACAGAGTTGGACACTGGCTCTTGCTGCTTCTCAGATACATATTTAGCTTGAACAAGAAAATCTGGGAGCGATCATCCTGATGTTCTCAAATAACATCACAAACTGGATCCAAGGACTCAGGTGATGCAGAGTGTGGAGGAAGCTTCAGGCTTGGTGGTTAAATGCGCTATCCTGTTAGCAAGGCTGCAGCTGCTTCAAATGGACTTACTAGAGTTATTTTAATCAGTGATTCATTCAAGTTATTGATCAAATTAAAATATATAACCTGCAAAAGTGCCCAGTGATTAAAACTGTTAACATAAGATCTGATATTAGTGATGCATAAAGCTCCAGAAAAAGGAAAAAAAATACCAACCTGCGGTTATAACAAAGTCGTACAAGAGTGAATATTCTGCGTCCTCAGGACTTTAGTTATGTAACTTACATTTCTATGCTACCATTTTCATGCAGCGAGCTCAAGTAAAGCAGGGGCTCAGTATTGTTTTCTGCCCTCAGTCCTGATGTCAGTAAACAGACGTTCAGCGGGAGTTTATGAAGTGGGGACTCCTCTGCCCCCTCGTCTATTCCCATGTCGAGCCTCGACTGGTCGGCTCACACTCAGCGATGTGTGGATGAGGCAGCTGTGGGCTGTAACGCGTGTTACGCTGCCAAAATGAAGTTTAAATGTGATTCATCAGGCCGCTGGTCCAGATTCCCGCTGTGGCTTCCACTCAGGTGGGATGCTCATTTGGCATCAAGTTGAACTAACCTTCATTTTACTGGAATAAAATCCCTCCTGCAGTGTGACCCTGCACGCCCAACCAGAGCGCCTCGGCACTCCTGCACGTCTTTATAGCTTCAGTCACAGCAGATGGATTGCTTCCAGCCCTCATTTCTCTGATGAATAAATCATAAATGATTCTAATAAAATTTCACAAACTGTCTAGGGATTGCAGATTTTATTCTAGGTCAAATATACACAACAAACTCTATCATTAACAAAACCTTTATCCGAGCATAGTGCCTCATTCAGGTTTTGCAAAGGAGACTTCAAGTTATATAAAGTTTAAAGATGGAGACAAGGAGTACACAGATGCAGAAATGAAGAAATTAATTTATTCTATTATTATTGTATTCATGGGCAAACATATTGTGACCCCAGTTGACTGAAAAAAGTCCAGTTAAGTCATGTGACTGAACATGCTTCAGTGATAAGTGACGAATGGAGGGAATTTGACTTCTGTCTGTCATGTTGACCCAGCATTTTCAGTTTCTTATGTTTCTGGTATTCTTCTGTATTATGATTTATGTCTGATTCTTTAGTTATCCTGCTTTCATTATTATTATAAGTCTACGTTTCAGTTTATTCTGGTTTAGGGTTTAGTTCTTAAGTTTTGTTCTTATGCCCTCATGTTTAGTTTAGGTTTAGTTCTGTGCTCCGTCTTCTCTGCCCGTGTGTTCCCTCTGTGTAAAGTCCATGTTTAGTCTGTCTTCGTGAATTGTTTCCTGTTTTATTTTGAAGGGTTATGTCTGATGTCAGTGTTTCTAGCTTCGCTCCCCCTGTCTCGTTGGGTCTCATTCCTCCCGGCTGTGTTCCCCTGCTGTCTCTAATTCCTTGATGACTTCCTTAGTGTGTTTAAGCCCCATGTTTCTTTGTGCCAGTGTCGGGTTGTACCATCAGATTTTGTCTGTGTGTCCAGTTTGTGGGTTTAGGTTTCTGTTTTGTTTTCTGCCAGCAATAAAGCTGTGGTTTTTGAGTTGCACTCAGTCTCTGAGTCCTGCATTTGGATCCTCACCTCCACCTGCCCGCACACAGAGCCCTGACACTGTCACAGGAATCCAAACAAAGACGAGAGCTGGAGTTCCACTGGATCAGGAAGGAAAATGAGAAACTGCACAGGTTGTATGTTCCTTTAAGACAGGGGTGTCGGACTCCAGGCCTCGAGGGCCGGTGTCCTGCAGGTTTTAGATCTCACCTTGGGTCAACACACATGAATCACATGATTAGTTCGTTACCAGGCCTCTGGAGAACTGAAGGAGCTAATTTAGCCATTTAAATCAGCTGTGATGGTTCAAGGACGCATCTAAAACCTGCAGGGACACCGGCCCTGGAGGCCTGGAGGTGCCCACCTCGCTTTAAGAAGTACTCCAACCTTCACAATGAAGAAAAATTTTGCAACAAAATGCCCAAAACTCATTGAGCTCATTTTGTAGTCCATCTGGATATTGTAGTTATGACAGGGGAGTCTGGGGTAAGTGCCGTCACATTCTCTGAGCTTCTCTTTACTTGTGGAAAAGGGGAGGGGCCAAAGGGGTACCCCGTATTTATAGGGTTGCACCAAAGAAGGAAGAGGGGCTCTAACTGATAATGAACATAACTACAGGCTTGAAGGTCCTAAAAGTCAGGTATGATAGGAGGGGTTTAGGGTCTAGAACACATTTTGTGTAATTATAACAATATGTAATTTATGACCTGGTTACACAGACATGGAGGCGGTTGGAAGGTGATGAATCATAACGGACCTCTTGTATTAAAAAGTTATTGTAAAGTTTGAATATCTTCGTGTTCTCCTAAGGTAATAATGACTAAATATGACACTGACTTGTATAACTACCAGTTAAAAAAAAACAGTAACTGGGTAGGACACAAAGAAAAAGTCTCCAAAATGCTCGACTGGGTAAATGAATAACACAGTCAAACTTCAGAGACAGTGTGTCCAGTTGGGAAGCATAAACTGTGAATCCGTTTCACCTGCTTTGCAGATGAAAGTGGCAGCAGGTGCGCTGGACAAACCCCAAATAAAGGGAATGGTCTTGCAGGTGCTGACCACAGACCGCTGCGCTCTGCTCATCTCTCCTGGCTGCTTTTTTTTTTTTTTCTTTCCGTTCATGTCTTTGTCACTGCTGGTGGAATGAGACGGTACCTGCAGCTCATTCAGGCTGGATCTGGGCACGGGTTCATCTCCTCCAGGATGGCACATCCATATCGACCAGCACATTCTCAGGAGTGTGATGGGTCATTAAAAACAGAACTGGACGGAGCCTTATTTGCTCCTGTGTGAGGAAGAACAAAGTGAGCTTCTGTGCTCGTCTCTGACCGAACTGTCAGATCCAGAATCCACAAGGGGCCGGCGTCCTGCAGTGAGACAGACACCGTGCAGCTGGATTAATGTCCTGTTGGTGTCTCTGCAGTGTAATGGGTGCTTCCTGGACACGTTGATATCTGCGAAGTTCAGCTGACTTTGTGTTATACTGCAATGATTGGGGAAAAAAACACCTTCTCTCTGAGTGTGAACCTCAAATGTGAGTTATCAGGACGTTTGGAATAAAAATCATAGTGATGGCCACAGTGAAGCTGCTGACTTTCATCCAGGAGTGTATTCCACTCTCTTACTCTGTCCCTGATAATTTGAACCTCTGACTGCATTTGTCATGGCCGACACATTCGGACCATCACAGTTAGATTCAGGGGAAAACTCCATGGCTCATATTCAATGATTACATCGATAGTAATGACAGAAATCTTTGTGTCCATCCGCCTGCAGCCTGCAGATTTGAGCACACAGCTGCCACATTCTGCTGAGCTTCCCACAGACATCCACACTGCTGAAGGTCACAAGTACTGAGAGAAAAATCTCTTTTCTTCCTACTCAAGTTTAAGGCAACTCTTAATAATCTCCAGCACTTTATGGGGAAAGTTTGATTCCTACAGGACAAGCTTGTCTCTACTTAATGTGTTAATTTTCACAGCAAGGACAGCACAGTACTTATCAGTGCTCATGTCTATTTTAGGGGGCCTTGGCTGAAACAAACTGATCAACAATTTCAAATTTGAATACAAAGTGATGACCCGCACCGTGCTTTGTTGGAAAAACTAATATACAGTAGGAGTGTGAAAAGTATGAATTCTTTGTGCTCCATATCGCCCCCCTCTGGTGACTGAAATCCCACTTACTCAATAATAAAAATGGCATCAAATTGTGGAGATGCTGAACTGAATTTGTGCGTATCATAAACTTTTATTTCCCCACATTTATTTTTATGTGATGATCTAAGAAGCTCTGTAAAAATCTCAATATGTTTCTGTTGAGGAAACCATGGCGATGCTAATTTCTGCACTGACTGGCTAAATAAAGATGAAGGAGAAGCTCGATGCAGAAGAAAGATGTTTTCCTTTCTTTTTCTTTAACTGCAGAAAATTTGTGCCTAAATGTCACCAAACAGCAGCAGAAAATCAACCATAACTGCGAAAAAAGCTGGAAACTGAAACCTTTTATTAAACTGCTTTATTCAAAGATCTGTTTGTGTGGAGACAGAGAGGACAGAGCAATTTTTACTTTCCTGCTGAGAAGAAGAGTCGTGAAAGCTTCACCACAAAAAGAAAGAAAAACATAAATTAACATTTGAATCGAGGAAGTTGGAGCGCCCTGCTGTGCAGTCATATGAAAGCATCTCTTCCTCCTTCAGCACAGAAAACAGAAGAGGGTCAGTCAGTCGGAGTTTAAGTGTTTGGATAATTTCCACGTGACCCTAGAAACCATTATGCTGAGAGGGTATGAGTGCCGTAAAATGGCTCCAGTAAGAGCAGAGAAAAGAGGCTTTTAACAGCAATTACAGCAAAGCGGGCACTCGTCATTATTAGTGACAGTGGTAAACTCTGTGTGAGCAGCCAGCTCACAGGCAGCACAATCAAACATCACAAAGTTTCTTAACTTTACTCCCATTTCTTATTTTAGGGTAAAGTTGGAGTTTGAGGTGCTCAGGAGCAGTGAGTGTGAATACACTTACATGCAAGTATGAAAACACACAGTTCAGCTCCACTTTTCTTTTATTGGGGACATGAAAGCGAAATAAATTGGAAGAAATCTTCTTTGCTATTGTTAGCATGGCTGCTCTATCACGACTATATGGACATCAAATTAAGAACAGCAAGCTGGAGGAGAGAGAAGCTGGGAGTTGATTCATTTCCACCCAGCATGAAGACAAGGAGCCACATTTAACCTCATTTACAGACAACAGAGAATGAAACCTGACCCTGATTAGCGGCCTTAAGTAGACTAATATGAGCTGAACACGTGAAAATGTTTCACTTCATAGCAACTGAGGAATTTTGGCCTTAAACAGGACAAAGGTTCCAAGTTCAGACAGGAGTGAGACACGGCTGCTGACTGCTGTTTCTGGCAATCAGCAGCAGGAAGTGGCATCCACGTTGACCACTTTATAGACAAAATCTTTAGATGGTTGAGTAACTAAAGCTCCACACTGAAAAAAAGTGGTTAGACATATTTTAAATAACAGTCCTTTAAGGCGAAACAGGAGAAGCCCCACAATTACATCATTTAGTTCCAATTGTTTTTTTTAAGGCATTTCTATATGAGTAAGAGAAGCTAGCTTAACAGTAGACTCATGAGCTTCATTAGCTCCCTGCTAAAGGTGCAGATGACTTGCAGGCAATGTTCCCTCTAAGCTACGCGCGTGCGCAATCGCGCACTGCTGGCACGTCTCTGCGCACAGAAAATCTAACCTGAATTGAAACTAAAACAAATACGTTAACAATTCTGTTTTGCAGTTTAAGTTAGTAAGTGACCGGAAACTGGCTGCTCCACCCAATGATGCGATTCACATTCGTATATACGCAGCTAATCAACGTGGTTTACGGGAAAGACTAACATGCTTTAATTGTGCTAAACAGCTCCACATGAATAACTAGCACGAGCTAATTAGCACAATGTTACGTCATGGACATTATTATAAAATTTTTGCTTTGCGGAGAGACGTTTTTCCTGCAATAATCCAGAACACACCATTAGCTTTTCTGCAGAGGGAAGCAGGGCGATGCGTTGACCCTTGATTTCCTTTTCTTTTGACTTTTTGAGGTTTAATTTAAAGTTTTACTGAGTGTGACACAGAGCTGCTTTTATAAACTCTGTTTGCATTTATACTCTAAGAACAGCACAAAGTGGGGGCGCTCTTCAGGGCGGTCCTATAAAGGACAATCACTATGAACAGCTCAATAAAGATTTCACTCTTGTATCTGATTTCATGTTAAATCAAACGGCGTCAGCTCTTACTGTAAAGCACACCGGTGTTTTTGGGCTTGTGGGTGAGCGGTCGTTTCTCTCTCTGGGGCTTTCCTGTCCTTTGTGCTTTGGGACACTGAAGAACACCCTCTGTGTGTCTCTGTGTGTTTGTCAACAGGAGGCCTTTTCCCCGGTGACTCCCATGAGTACGAGGTGTTTCGTTTCGCCCTGGCACAAAACCAGGACATCCCCAAGCTGGTGCCACAGGTGGACATGGTGGACACGAGCAGCAGTTTCGCCATGACCTACGCCTGTAAGTTCATAGACCGATGGCGCTCTGGGGCGGGCCAGAGGGTGACTCTTTGTTGGTGTTTGGGGTATTTTACCACATTTTTAACTGAGCTTTTTAATTCTGGTATAAACAGCATTTTGTGCACCTGTGCTTCAGCAGTTAGTTTCCATGGAGCGTTTCTACTTGATTTAATTTCATTTTACAAAGCGGTTCAGGTGCCATGCTCATCTTTTAGATATCTGAATTGATATGAATGAATGCAAGCAGGAGGACCTGGTGCATAAATCTTTGAAACAAAGCATCTCCGGCTGTGCTTTTTTTTCCTTTTCTTTGTGCACTCATATCCCAGATTCCAAAACGCAGCGGGGCATAGAGGATGTTTACCTCACACTGGTGCAGTTGGATCAGATCAAAGTTGAGTTTTGCTCAACAGTTTTGGGATGGAACTGGCTGCCACTGGGCCGGTGGATTTGGAGGTCACTCTGCTTTGCTGAAATGTAGCAACAACACAGTTTATTAACTCTACAAACAGTCTGATGTTTCCTTTCTCTGTAATGAAATTATCAGCGCTCACTGTGGAGTACTTTTATTATTTCATAACAGCAGACAGAAAGGAGTGGCTTCGCTCAGAGTTTGCTCAACATTTATGAGTGAAGCCGTCATTAAAGCATCATCCAGCTCAGCCTGTGGTGATCAGCGTGAACTCATCAAGGAAACAATTACAAGAAAAATAAGAACCATCTGCAGAACTCGGAGACATTTGCAACAATCAGAAAGCTTGTTTATATGAAAATGTAAAATGTACCTTCATAACTTATGACCTGTGTGCTCCAGTCCCCTGACTTTGATGTACTTATTTCCGGCTGTATGTGGATGTAAAAATGTAGTTTATCTGTCAGGTTACACGTGCCCAAACAACTGGCAGAGCTCATGATTGAATAACACTGCAGCTGTTTCATCATCGGCTTACTCCGCACGGTCTCTTACCACAAAGTGCTCCAAACATCTGAATCACATTCCTCCCACGACGTCAGACTGGTGTCCTGCAGCACCGATGCCTCTGCTGCGGCATTATTAGATCCCGAGAGAAGAATGTCTCAACTTCTCCGAGGTTTCAGCACTTCTTAATGTTGGTGTGTGGAGTTGCAGGCTGACAGGAGACGTTCTACATGTATGAAGTAATAGAGCGATTGTTGTGACAGTGGAGTGCGCTGCATTCGAGGGCTCGCTTTCAGGAACCAAACAAACAGTCTCTGCAGCTGATGCTGCTCCGGCTTCATTCACTGGAACTGAGAAAGTGTCAAAAAAGACATAAAGAACATTACTGGAGATCTTGATCAGAGAGCCAATGATGAGTTAGAAAATAATGGAAAAAGTCCAGGAGTATAAAAGAGTTTTTACAGTAACTTTAGCATGTTTAAGATAAGATAAAATAACCTTTTTTAGTCCCACACGTTCAAAAATCTTTGGTCACATGCTAAATCTATTTAACACTTTAAAGTCAAGAGTTTATATGAGTTTCTGAGACTTCTACATCATCACTGTATATTTTAGCGATGTTAAAATTTGGTGTTTGGTGATTTGCCCTCTTAACTTCACCAAAGGACAAATAGAATTTGAATTTTAAGGGCTGAAAACAGATTTCGGGTCAGTTTAACTGCCCCACTGCTTTGCTTTGACCGCAGTTACAAGGCAGCAAATTGTGCCATAGTTCTATTTCCAGACGTTTTATTTTGGAAGGTTTGAAATGATTTTTAAAGACAGGATTTTGCAGCAAATACATGTTTAAGACTTCAGTGTCAAATTCAGCAAAGCAAATTTCCTGCCGGTTATTTTTGGGTCTTGATGATATAACACATGGTTTTTGTAGCTACTGAATGTGCGCTTTTGCTCGGATGCTTTTGTGCATTGTTAGTGTATCATTTGGCTCTCTGTGCTGCTTGTCTGACTGGGTTTTTTTTGAAGGGTTAGCCTGCCGTCCGCTGCACTCACCGTCATGGGTCAGTGCATCATTCTCCCGTCATCCAGACTTCATTCAGCAGACCTGGGATTTACAGGGTAAACACAAGTACATGGAGCCTGGCTTCAAAAGGGCACGTTGCGGCAGTAAATGGACGCAGACCGTGGGGAGCTCGCCACTAAATGGACTCTGGCTCCGGGGAGCGTTCTGTACAGTGCAGCAGGTTTAGACAATAATGTGCTGACCTGTTTCATTCTGCCCCAAAACACTGAATTTACCACCTGAATGTTCAGCTGCTGCTGCAATGAATCAGTTCAACCTCAGACACGAGGCTTCATGTGTGACATGAGCTGTTTAAAGAGCTACAGTACGAGTGCTTAATCACACTGAGTACAGAACACAGCACATGTCATCACTTAACATCATTAGACAACAGAGGTCATTACAACTTATTTAAACTGAGTATTTCACATACATCACTCTGGAACTCAACTCTTTAAATTAAGAAATCAACCTAGCAACACTTTATCCTTCAGTATTTAGCATTAAAAACAGAGTTTAGTTGTCCTGAAAAAAGTGATAATGTTGGTACTCGTCAGAAAGGTGATGCTACTCAAAACACTTAGTCCAGTAAGTTTTTGGGCCAACGCAGTAAATAATAGAAAAACACAAATACAACAATTTGTGGTCATTTATTTAGAAAAATGTGACTAGTAGCTATGATTCTTATTTAACATGGACATAAACGTATTTATTGTATGCTTTAAACCGATGAGTTGCTCAGGTATATTTGGGGAGTCATTTAAACATTTTAAAAATCTTGTTTTTATGACAACAGTATGATTAATTTACAATTGGATAAACAAACTTTTAAGCTTCAGTCTCGACCAAAGGGATGAATTCTTATTCTTGTTATGGTTCTTTGAAGTCTGAGGTTTATTTGTAGCTGATGTTTTCTAATTAAAGTATCTGCAGATGAGTCTGCGCAGTCAAGAAAATAGGCAGTCTACACGGATCCTTGTTCGCCATGTGGTGGTATAAGTTAGACCCCAGCAAACCTCAGCAGGGTCACAGACATGAAAAGTATCCTCAAGACTTGATGTCTGAAATTTGAGTTGTTGCTAAATTAGCTAAATTACACATGCTAATCAGCAATAGGTAAAAGACTACCGACCACAATTTCTTCAACGATGAGTTAGTACAACCAGCTGCACAGAAAGCTCCACCATTTGTCAACTGCATTAGAAAAACTGTAAAAGGCATCAACAACACAAACATGATCCAGAGATCCAATTCAGTGACTCCAATTAGCAGACAGCTAGCAACTGCAGTCGTCTGTGTTGCAATCCATCCATCAGTCTAAGAGGCCACGCCCCTAGTAATGCAAACTTTAAAATTCATCATTATCCAAGTATTTGAGTTATTAAAGAATTCACCCACCAGGAGGCTAAGGTTCAGGAGGTAGCGTTGGAAGGTTCCCCGGCGCCTTTAGCCTGCGTGGAAGTTTATCCTGAAAAGTTGTCCACAGAGCCTCATGTCGCAGTGTGAATGTGTGAACTTGGGCAAAAACATGGTTGCATGATCGTCTGTGAATAAGTGAAGGAGGCTTGTCGTAAGAAAGTGCTTTAAGTGCTCAAATGGAGTGTAAAAGTACCCATCCCTTTATACACAGATGTAATGAAGCAGCTGAGAGTTGGAACATTTTTCGAAGTAAGACATAAACATGTTTGTTTCTGCTGTAAAGAGATTTTATCAGGCAGTCTACAGGGACTGATCACGGTGCACATTCACTTTGATGATTGGTGCTTTACCTGGACCTGACATTTCCCACGGCCGGCGGAGCGGACCAATGTGTCACAGTGAGATTCTCCTCCATAATGCAGAAAGTCTCTAACGTTGCTATCTTGAGATGCTTTGTGGATCCAACCTGTCCTCACTCCCAACTTATCACATGACCCGTTGGTGTCACCGTGGCCTAAACATGTTTAATACGAGGCTCTGATCTTCTGAAATAGATGGAATGAGTGTTGCTGGTGTTGTTGAGGAGTAAAATGTAATAAATGTTATTTATTACTGTGGCAACAAAGAAAATGTTGGAGGAGCTTGTTGCATTATGACTTTAAAACTAAACAAGCAGTGTTGGTGCCAATATTTCAAATCAGTGACAGAAAACTTTAAAATAAGAAATAAAAGTGACACAAACTGCAAAAAAGGCTCAGATGAACCTTAACATAAGGAAGTAAACATGACGTTGGTACCAACACTCAAATAAGAAATGCTTCATCGTCATCTCTGAGAAGCTCAAGTATTAACATCAGTTTATTTATTCATATTCTATCTTGAAGCCGGCAGTTTTAGCAGCTCCAGTCTCAGAATACTAAACAAAAAAATGCTAATGCTAATAAAAGTGGAATATAAAATCAGCTCTCAGTGGTGCAGCTGTGCTCTGCAGCATTAAAACTAAATCTGGAGTGAAAGACAATTTGACTGCACATTACACAGGTTAGTGTTGTTATGAGGGCAGATATTTCTTAATAACGTCCTCACTGATCATGTTTTACAGCCTAGCAGAGCAGATAATCCCAAAAATATGCTTCCAGTTCGATTGTGAAGTCTTTAGAACCAGCGCCATGTAGTTAATAAGCAACAAGTGCCTGTGTTTCTGCTGAGTCATACTTTATACATGCGTAGAGCCGCACAGAGCCGGTCGTCCTCTCTCATCTGACAGAATCGTTAGCTTTGATTTGGACGGGGCTCAGTCAGGATCTCAAAGTTTGATATTCACAATCTCTTTTCACCCAGTTTTTCATCTTTATTAACCCTTAAACGCACAGCCTGCTGGCTTGGATGCATTTGTTGATCTGAGTGTTTCAGGAAGACAAAGCGTCCGTCCATAGGAACGTTTCTAGATACTTGGGAGGGGTGAGGATTTTGAACCAACGTGTTCTCTATTGCTATCATTTACGTACAAAATAAATATCTTTATCTCCAGTTTGGTACCAAAGACTTGGAGAAACAATGCTGAGGAGCACTAACGCTGCTCTGGTGACTCAGCACCTCA